AGGATTGAAAGAGAAACATTTGCTTCCAGATTTAAAGTAAAACTATTCCAACCATCCTGAAACACCAGGTTAGAATTCCTTGATAAACAGATATTTTAATGAAGTGGTTGACTTAAACCGCAGCCAGCACCACATACAAGTTTCAGTTCAGATTTATTTATATAGCAGCAAATCACAACAACAGTTGCCTCAAGGCGCTTTATATTATAAGGTAAAGACCCTGCAATAGTATACAGAACACAGAAAACCCCAACAATCATGACGCCCTATGAGCAAGCACTTTGGCGAGAGTGGGAAGGGAAAATTCCCTTTTAACAGGAAGAAACCTCCAGAACCAGGCTCATCTGCTCCAACCGGCTCCAAGATAAAGACATGCTTTTGGATGAGTTTGAATGGGATGGTGCATCCAGTGCAACACATTATTATTCAAGTCAGTTTCACCTCGGAGGATGTTCAAGCTACTGATTGTTGTTTTCTAGGTCATATCGGGAATACGTTGGGTACAGGTGTTTGAATACTGTTTGATTCATCCAAATGTGAAATTCAAAACTAAATGCAATGAAAGTGTAAACAACACATCCCAATCTCATTATATTCTTCCTTCTTGTGTCCCTGTAGAAGCATGCTGTGCTGTTTGGGTCTTATTTGGTGCTCTGCTTTCTCTGAATGTTGTTGGAGCTGCAGCGTGGTACTTCTATAGATGCAGACATTTTCAAAGGTACTTAGAACCATAACCCAGCATACACTTAATATGTAGCATAATATGGAAAACTCCTTATATCAAAGCTTATCATAAACCTTGACAGAAATATCTGATGCATTTAGTCATTGATGTTTATTTGAAATTTCACAAAAAAACAAAACAAAAAACAAATACAACCAAATACAATAAAGTTAAAGTCCAGCCTAGGAAGTTCTGAAGTAGTTGAAAATTCTGATTTCACACTAATCTGCATCTTACTGTGTCGCACATCACCTAAGCCCTTTAATTCAGTCTTCTTTTCTTTGTTTGTTTTTTCTAAAAAACAATCATGCTTTTGATGCTATTTTTTGAGCTCTTAAACAACTGTTTCTTCAGAGAAATGCTGTCCTCACAGGACAGTCATACTGGATTTTATTAAATATGATGATCGCTGGGGCGACC